CAAAAACCTCGGATTCATTATATGCCATCCCAATTGTGGTTTTCATTCATTTAAATTTCGCATATCAGCAATTCAAAAATGGATAATAATCATTACTTTTGCATGAATTCGACGCTGAATGTGACTGACGATGAGTAAAAATTTTTCATTTGAAATTTACAAAAAAGCAGCAAAAATGCGGAATGAAACATATTGGTAGATGCAGAATTATCAATTGACTCCAATAAATTGCACTCACGAGACGGCTGCTGACGAATCAACCACAAACGGTGCGATGAAATAAAAACACAACACAAAATGCGAACAAATGAGATCTGATCACACAGCGAAAACGATAAACGCTGTGAAACAAGAAAATGACGATGACAAATACAATTTCAAAATAACTCAGCATGAATATATGTCCTTATGAAATTTGGCCGAACTTTACAATATTCAAGGAAAACTCTCCTCACAACAATCCATGACGATTCCATAATTCAAAATGCGCACATTGGTTTTGCATGATGCATTGTGCGAATAATCAAACGATTTGCATGTAATCAGACAACCATGTGCCACTACACAACACCCACTCGGACAGACTTCCATCTGAATCAAAATTATTCCTTAGAAATTCAGAATCACTCCTCAAAAACAAAATTGCTCACGCATAAAGCAGCACTCGTACATAGCCATAACCATAGGTAACTCTCACAAAAATATGTCAGTACTATGGAAATATGATGGAATATTTTCTGTTTCAGTGAGCGCTGACGTGAACATTAAAGTCTATTATACTCCATAAAAATGTTTCTACCGATAGAGAATGAATATTAACAAGTCAGCTTTTTGGCTAAACGAACAAAACAATTAGACGTCAAATAAAGAAATAAACATGCGCAAGTTCGTTCGAGGACATCAGCAGTCGTATGGCGTTATCACGCACACAACTGTTTTGTGTGTTCAGTACTTTATCGACGCACCTATCGATCATCTCCGAGTTTTCATCAAAAATCGACGAACGATTCTCGATGTTACGAAACCATCGCATCCACTCCAGACCAGCTGTTTCAACTGAAACACACCACAATGCTTACTTTACCTCTGCCAGCTTCTGCCGATATCCAAGCTCGAACTTTAGCTTTTACAAGCACTCGTTACATACTGAAACTAATTTCCACTAGGATGAAGAAATTTCGAGGGATTCCATCGGGAACTACTTTTGGTCTGGAAACTGAAAGCGTTTTCTGTTTTCGTCTCGAGAAGTGAGCTGCTCAGTATTGCGAAACATTGACAGATGGTGCACAAATAAAGCAAATCCTTTCGGCTGAACGACACACGCAACTGTGAAATTTGTTCGATTTAGAAAATACAGAGCGCAGCAAAAAACAGCACTAAAAAATAGTTGCATTATCGATCAGACAACAAATCACTGAACAACGATAACTTTTACAGTCGTCATGTCCGAAGCATTCATATCGAAACAAAGAATGAACAAAACGAATGAAGATGGCGAATAGGCATACATACCAACACTTGGAATCGAGCACACAAGTAGTGTTGAGGTGATCAGCATGAAAATTGTTTCTTGTTTCTCATTTTTGGCATTGAACTGTATCAGAAGCACTCTCAGTGTATCCATAATCCATTTGCCACTCACACCGCTCTCAATTTCTTTATGATCACTTTCAGTTTGTGCTGATGCTGTCGAGGGTGCTGAATACGTTTTGTGGTGTATCTGAATTCGGTTAACGTTTTGTTCTTCGAAAGGAAAACATTCACGATTTCATAGACGATTTGAGAACAACGTAAAAATTGAAAAAATGATAAAATCCATTGAATTTCTCATTAGTGAATGAAATTGTTAGAAACATTTTTCAACGGAAACAACTGACTTCAAAAACTTCAATGGATCCGTAAGTTGAAGATGGAGCATTACTGCAATGAAGTGAAGATCCACTCAAGGCTGGGACAATGAATGAAGACCAAATTTCAGTTCTTTCCCCCCNCCCCCCCCCCCCCCCCCCCAAAAAAAAAAAACAAAATGAACGAACACACGACTGACCTGATCAGCGTCACCCAAAATTATGTACTCATAGAAATGTTGCACAAAAGTCGCTGTGAAACGCACTCCTTCAGCCGTGATTATTTTTTTGAGATGGCTTAACGCATACTTACGCACTTCGTATTCATGCCATAACAACGCCATAAACAGACATCTCAATGCCGACGGTGCGTATTCACTTTCCTGAACAAATCCATTGAGTTGATCACTTTTCATTGGAGTGAATTTTTATTCTCACTTAACAATTACTCGATGCATCAAAGCGATTTAGTAAAATGAAAAATACGTCGGTTGTTTGAGATCTGAGCCAAAAAGCGGCGATCTGAGACAAGCGATGAGTGCGAGTGAACGAAGTACTGAATCTAGTTCTTACTCACCCCTGTATTCGAATATGGTCGATCAGTGATCAGTTTGGCAGCTAACTGAGGAAGAAGAAGAGCATCTGCAAAGAAAACTTCGATTTGTTCAACTAAATTGAACTTATTTTTGGATACGGTGCTGTCGAAAAACGACAACTGCGATGAGATAACGATGATCAAAGATACGATTGGAATGATTCAAGCGTAGCACTGATATAGTGCGATGAACTGTTGACAACGATAACCTGATTTCTTTAGAGAAGTTACGAATTTGTCTTTGTGAATGAATTCATCAGAGACGATTGAATTCATCAGTTTGTGCCGTATGTCATCGTTGTTGCAATTCAGCAGCAGTAACGATGCTCCAATCCATTCACCAGCCGATACCGTTTGCGATTTGCGTACGGTTTCGATGATCTTCACCATCGCATCATCGAACATATCATAACCACCTTAAATGTTGAGTTTCATTAAAATGCTATACAATTTACGAAGTGATATTATTTTGCTGAGGTGCAATGTCAACATTCACAGCAACAACACCACTGAAGTTGTAATAATAATGGTGAATTTTCAAGTAAACACTTAACACAATAATATCACCACAAATAGTGCATGTCAAAAATGACATTCGCATCATTTGAGTCAAGCATTTTGTAAACGTAATAAGTGATAAAATGATACATTTCGAGAAGAGTGACAACATCGCTTTGATTGTCGCGAAACGGGATGTGTTCGTTTTGTGTGGTGCCTCGAAATGACTACTTTTTATTAATTGAAGTTATTTTCGATCAAAAAAGAAACAAATACGTTTCAAAACAGATAAAGAAAACGATTGCACAATAATAAATCTCAAGCAAAAATGCACACTTCATCAACGATGAATATGATTACAATCGAGTTCCTAACAAACCATCATTAATGATACTAAATCAAAAATAAGCCCAACTCCAGCCCCAACCAAACACAACCTTAAAAAGTGGCAAAATTTGCGTTGATATCGACGACATTCGTTCGGCCCACACCACCAACGCATCCCACATCGCCGTTAACGTCGCGTCATGAACTAAAACAATCACGTAGAGTATGTATCACTGCTGCGTTCGTTACACTATGAATAATTTCTAGGAATATTTGAGAATAAATGCTTCTAGCAACACGAAATTAACGAATCAAAGCGATTTGATCGTCATCGCTGAACCAAAAATCAGTAATGCAAAATTCACTGATGGGAGAGGGGCTAGGTTGAGGGTTGCTGAACGTAAAAGTCGAATAACGAACCTTCTGGCGGAATCAGTGGAATTAAGTGAGATAAAACTTCATTGCCGAGTATATCGGCATTCTCTTTACCGTACACATTGTGAGCACTCACACCCTTCAGTGTTTCAAGAACACCGATTCGTTGTAACGATGTTGTTATCTTGCCATCCGATCCTATAATAACACTCTCATTAGCAACACTCCGTACCCTCTGAGATAAGATGCAAAATTTTGAATTCGTTTACAATTCAAACTGAGAATACAATCCTTATAAAAACTAATTTCCAAGTTTGAAACTATGAAAATTATGAGATAATTATTCGATTAACGTTCACGCAAAATCTGAACTAGGCTGGAGATTTTGTACTTATTGTACCATACATTTGTGTGTGAATAAAAGAAAAGATTACAGGCAAGTCTTCTGATGAAAACGATGATAGTACACAAAAAACATTTGGTTACGCTGTGAGGAATGGCAGATTAAGGGTGATCCAAGTGGATACGATGCAAATTCAAACGGATCTACTGAAACAACTAACCAGAATAAGTGGCAAAAATGGCTTTGATAAGTGACTGAAGAGCTGTCGTATCGGACACGTTTCGAGCCAAGAAAATCACTGCTTTTGATGCACAACTGCGCACGTCGTCATCAGTTGAAACCAATGAACCTTGAATGATGATTTGTCGTTAAATTGCATTCATTAACGATTCATTTGCCTCGAATCTGTCTCAAGCTCATCATCAATTAGCATATTCATCCGCCCGTATTTTTCAGATCAACTCATTGGAATATTTGAAATTAAATGCTTCTAGCAACACGAAAGTAACGAATCAGAGCGATTTAATCGTCATCGCTGAACCAAAAATTAGTAGTGCAAAATTCACTGATGGGAGAGGGGCTGGAGCGAGGGTTGCTGCGATAAACACGATAAATGTATGCAAATAACTGAACAAGAACGAAATTCAATTAAACACGAATCATTATACAACTGTAAAGAGGATATTTCTTCAAATATGACAACAGCCACAAACATAAAATTGTTCCTTCACTGGAAATACGGAAAAAGACTGATGAATTCAAATGAGTGAATAACGACGCAACAACAAGCCAACCTACCCGCAATTGTTTTATAAATATCAACGGCGAATGCACTCAAATCAACTTTTACATAACGCAATATATCGCTGTATGCTGAAATGTTGTTGATATATACTTTTCACATCGATCACTATGAAACATTATTGTTGCCAATATAAACAGTAACTAAAGAGCTCAATGCCACTTTTTTCAGTACCAAAAATTTCTTTTCTGCAGCCGTACAAATTCTTTAATTATTCATTGATTTCAATGTCTCGTCACATAAAATAATATATCAAATTCTTTCAGAAACTGTCACTTCGAGAACTGTCAAAATTTCATTTCAACTATGCACAGGGATACTGTATAATTTCAACAAAAAACTTTATATGAATAAATTATGGTGCGTTTTTAAGGCGTTGCAAATCACACTCTGTTGGGCGATGTAAAAGAATAGATGAAAGTAAAATCACTAAGAAAAACAGTACGGAACTAACCAAAAATGGCCACTTCAGGACTGCGCAGCATCGCTTTTTTGGCGTTTGGTAAGAGTTCATCTTTGATCTGGTTGACATTCAACTGCTCAATCAACTCACTGCACGCTCTCTACAAATAGTGTTACCATTATTTCCTCACCATTAAATACTTCCATTATGATTTGGACGAGAAGCGAAGTGATCAATGATAATCCAGTTGAAAGCACTGATGCAATAAACAAACTCAACACAATTATCACACCAAAGCAAATTAGCAACTGCTGAGCATAATTTAACACAAAGTGATGAAGTGATTTGTCATAATAAATTGTCGACATAATTAAATGAATTAACAATAAAGTTGAACTGAAAAATGAAATCGAATGAAAACGCAACGAACCAAAATATGTGCTGATGAGCGTTGTTTTGCCATCAATATCGACTTCAGCACTATTTTGAGGAATAACTCGATGGCATCCTCTCTGCACTCGTTCAACGGCAACAAACAAAGCAATGCCACCAGACATTCAGCACTTTCTAATGACACCGATGCAGTGTTGTAGTGTCGATCAATCGAATCCACAAATGTTTTCAACGCGAATCGATTGAATAATTCTTTGTATCTGCATCGAACATAACGCACGTTCTTCTTCTCAAACACGTTGTAGAACGCCAACGATGCTAAGCCAACTATCTGTATCGACGAATCTCATCACTTCATTCCATTTATACTTCATCAAAATTTTCGAACAGCTCAAAGAACGTAACTGCAAACGTCGCAGCACAATGGGCTGCTTACAACTTGTTTACCTTTAGCAGCAATCACTACAGTATAACAAACAGTATTAACACCAAAATATATGAAAGACAAATGTTTTCGGTGACGAAAATGTAAAGAAATTCATCGCGCTAAACACATTCTTAAAATAATTCCTTTTCAGTTTTGCTCTCGAATAAAATCACTAAAGGTTTATCATGATCATAAATTGTAAGTTACTTACGAATGAATTGATCAGATCGGATTTTTCTTCAAAACGATGTTTTTCCGCGAACATCAGTAACCATTTTACAGCAATGGCCGATGTATGGCTTGACCATTTCCTGGAATAATTCTCGATTACAATGAACAACTACGAACACACGCTCTAGTATACGAATATATAGAGTGATCAGCTGATAACCAAACAAACCCAGTGGGTTTGTTTGGTTATCAACTCGGTTTTTCACTCGGTTTCCAGTGAAACTTTCCTCCGCGAACGAGAAAGGAAGTTTTGCTCGAAACTGAGTGGTGTAACAATACCATTAATGTTGTGAGCCTAAGCCAGGCTATGATCTGACTTGTATCTATTATCTAATTTCCATTGCTGTTTCTTAATATAGGTCATCGACATTGGTCTACTTGGATCATAATAATGTCTGTTCATATGATCCAGTAAAATCAATTGATCTTATATTACGATGATGATCAACAAACACTTCGACGTTATGTCATCTGCAAGAACATCTTTTCGAAGCACACGACGAGTGATTAACAAAGATATTCCCGCTGAGGTAAACTTACAACATCATTGTAATATTTCCTATTGCACAAGTCAAATTCTGTTAAAAACGAAATCTGAAGTGTTTTGATGCACAAATGTGCCTCATAAATGAGGAACGCCTGCAGCAATTGGTAGTGAGTGATAGTGAATGGGTGCGTTGCTTCCTTCAATATAATCTATTCGAGTTATCTTATTAGAATATTGTGGCAGTGAATGTAAAACAATTAACAAACAAATAAAAAAATAGAAACGAACGTTATCGCAGTTCTGTTAGGTACGAAAATATGTGTGAATGACTCAGAGAGATGTTTGACGAGAGCATCTGGTGGATTGTTGTCACTTAACGACTCGATCAGTGATAAGGTTATGTGGAAGGATGCAGGTTCCGTGAAACGTGTGAAGCAGGCCGTCAATGAACTACGTATTATACCTCGCAGCACAACGTCTGGTAAAGCTGAAAGAGAACATGTAATATGCAAGTTGATAAGTGCTAATTCAACACCACTATAAGATCAGTTTTGATTTGGGAAAGTGAATGATAAAACGTAACTCTGATTAAAGGCATTCAATGAGGATTAAATCGATGAGAAATTTTCTGATGCAGGAATTGTTATTTAACAGATGGTAGAATATAAACAGATAAATGAGACATAAATCATTGCTGTTGCATAAATTGACGAGAAATAATAACTAACGTTCAACGTTTTTGAGTGAGGTGATAAGCGTTGAGACATTCGACTTCTGTCGTTTAACGCTCGAATCGTTGATGTGTTCAACGAACTTGAGAACTGCATCGCGGAGTTGTTGCTGTCATTTAATTAATGCTTACAATTAATGGTTCATTACAATTAATTCAGTCAAATTCATTTGAGCATTTTGCACCATTAAAATGGTGCAAAATTTCATTCTAAATTTCTATCGATATTTCACACTAACAAGCCTTAATATGGAGGTTCAGCTGAGGAATATTTTTGGAAAATAAAATAGAATACGCCATAAAATTAATGGGCAAATAGCAAGCAATAAGTGCCGACTCAGGAGTACTTCTATGATGATAGAGGCTCGACTTATTCAAAGAAATACACGAAAACAACATAACAGTTGGAAACCACTTTATCGGATAAAAGATAAAAGCATTCAAAAAACCTGTTTATCAACTGTTTTCGTTTGCGATTCCTCTGCGACACCATTTACTGCGATCGGTTCCATTAATAAAATGATGCAAAATTACTGCGAATCGTTCCAGAGCACACGCCTGCAGAATGCTTTATTCCCATTAAAAAATCACAACTCGAATACACACACATCAAATATGCACCGTCAAAACAGAACAGAGCTTACTTATTGCATGACAAAAAGAATTTCTTAAATCATAATATCCAAAAGAAATAATACACATTGTTTGACACGTCGCCAAGTCAACACCATTATGCGCCCCTTCCCCTTGGCTACTGTCGAGATATGTTATTTGGAATACTGTTAAGTTGACGACTATTTTGAAGAATCAATTTATGTCATAAGTAAATAAACAGATGACAAAATAAAACAGAATTGACTGAACGAACATTAAATAACCCAGTAAACATGCAATTTACGTAATACGCGCACAGAACGGTGAACCAATGCGTTCGCATTGCTTACATGCAAAGGGGAAAAATAGCCGAGCATTGTTGCGTTGTGAAGGGACTAGTTGGTTGGGAGCGAAATCTCCGACACTTGAAGGATTGTTCAGTTATTGTCGTAGTACGTCGTACGTATAGTCAATGCTCAAGGCGGTGCGTACGCAC